GATAAACAGGAAAAATCTGGAGAGTAAGGGTGAAAGTGATTCCAATGGAGATTTGTGTATTGGGAACAGTGAAAAGGGAGCATTAATGCGAACCAAAATCAATTGATGAAGTGATCAAGGTGGAGGAAACGCAGAAGACAACCCTGCGGGAAACAATCAGTACCTTAAAAAAAGACTGCAGTTCGCCAATCCCTAAATTGATGCTCATACTACTCGTGTTATATTTTACGGTACGTGTGACTGCAGTGAAAAAACAGATATAATACAGAAAATCTAATATTTCATCTTCCATATATCTCAACGCACACCATGGTATATATTTGCTTCTGATTGACTGATGGAGGAAAAGGTAAGCACGAAACATTCGCAACCTCAAGTTTAGTTTTTGTCATCAAGTTTATTTTTTTGTCCTAGCTTACTGACCATGACGCGAGGAAATGAAGCAAGACGTGTGACGCACTGCAGAGACCAGTCGCGCTGGAAAGATGCCAACAGACCTGAGTCATCTGCTTGAGGGGCATACTCAAGTGCATTCCTAAGTAGTCTTGATGATGACAGCGTCGTTCGTTGGCCAGAGAAAATCGAACGAAGGATTTAAGAAACTGAAACGGGTTTCAGGCATCTGAGTTAGAACAAAAATGTACCTCCCGCCTCACAAGCCACAGTGCAAGCTATGAAAATAATGTAAACATTAAAATACAACAAAAAAACTAATTAGTGTAATGAGTGTAATGTTAAATGTAATGTCCTAACATTAAAATTGCATACGATGTCACAGAATAAGTGAAAGACGATGACAACTGCTTCTTTTCCTTTTCGTCTGCCTGTTCCTCAACATTGCGAACAACCACCAGTGAATTTTTTATGAAAGCAGAACCGGTCTTTGCTACATGATCATATCCCATGTCCATCTGATCATGCACATTCCCACAGAGTTCAGTTATTACTCGCATCGCTTCTACCTGGCCGAACATACAGGTTTATGTCCACAAAGAAAAACAGATGTCGATCTGGGTAACAAACAATTAATTTTTACACAAAAGCTCGATAAGGTACTTATGAGCCAAGTTTACAAGTAAATCACACGGTAATGACGACGATAACAATGACCATTATCATAATTAGGAAACCTGCCGAGAACCTGCTCCAAGAAGAAATGCAACATTAACTAAATGTACTCGTGCGAGGACTGAATTGCATAGTGCCTATGTATGAACTTTAAATTTTATTTTATTACTGACAAATGCATACCTCAACTGGTGGTTAAATCTCATCATAGTCAGAACGGCTCTATTCTTTTCTGATCTTCTTCCTACTGATCAGATGTCGTACATTACTACATAACGACACTAATAATCTTATGCATGGAAGCAGGTTTTATGAATAGAGAAAAGTATCTTATCAGGGCTACTATGTACTTTCCTAAAATGCGATAGCCGCAGAAAGGATCACTCATTATTTATGCTTTTTACCAACAGTCTCAACTGATTCTTTCTTTCTGTCCAAAAGTTCCTTTCTATTGACCACTTTTTCTACCATGATGATTATCCAAACTTACTTTTCTGTTGTGAAGAGTGGATGACGACCGGGAGCACTTGATAAAGCGCAAAGTTATAGCCTCCCCCCTAAAGGCATGATATAAATCACGAAACGACTTTATAACAAAACATTCGTAATCGAGGTCGATCGAGAGCCTTACATTGTTTAAAACAACTGTGCCTAGGAAAAAGACAATTCGATTATGAGCGCGGACAGGATGAATGAGATCCAAAGACCATATTAATCATGAGTAATCCATTTATTGTTTGGTTTACCCTTTCAACATAAGAAAAGGATTCCTAGCAAGATGGTTAGACGTAGACAACTGTATGAAATCAACAGAGAATCAAATATGGCTTGGAGCGCTTCTGGGAGACTGTAAAAGATTACATGCCTAAAAAATTGTCCTTGCGTTTGAAACGGAAAGTTTCAGCGTGTGGCTCCATGATGACGTATGGATATGAAACAGACCTTGTGGTTGAAAGCTGTTCACAAACTATAAACTACACAATGCAGCATGAAAAAATGTATGTTGGGAATTGCAAGAAGCAACAAGAAGACGAACATGGATAACAGCAGAAATAGGGGTCAGCGATGTACTAGCAACGAGAGAGTAAGTTGAAATGACAATGGATTTGACACGTTGCAAGATGAATGAACCATCACTGGACCAAGGAAGCATCAAACTAGGTACCAAGAAAATGTAAACTACACGAAGGAAAATCTTTAGATCAATGTCAGGATAAGCAGAACAGATATATTGGATCAACGTGGATAATAACTGCAGAAGACAGAATTTTGTTGAGAAAACCCATCGTCTAAAAACGGGTCCATAACCACTGATGATATGGTTCACTTACTTCGTGACCATCGCTGGTAATTCAACTATGTTCTCAAAATTGAGGACATTTGTTTATGGAAGTGCCACAATCTTGACTTTAGGCTTAATGTCATTTACAGTCGATTTTCATCAATACTGAGGTAGAGAATGACTCGTCAAGTCACTACGCCGCGCATTTGCTGAAATCGCCCCACTCTAATGTTTCTAGAGGCCTACAGAGAAGTGTGATCTAAGTAGAATAAGGCTACACAACATTTCAGCTCCTGACTGCTTAACAT